CCCACCCAATGTACAATACGGGCTTGTTTTGGAGGGTCCCAACCAAAACCTTATGCCGCGGGCTCCGGTTTGCCATTAGGGTTTGGAGGCATGGGTCTATTTGTGTAAACGGGCAACGGTACCCTTTTCGGGGTCGGTTTCACGGGTAAGTGCAAATGGAACATACAAATTTTGGTGGGTTCCGACATCGGAGACAGGACAAACCTAAGGACACATGGGTGGGGGATAGTGAAGTGTTTGTTCTTTCTTTTTTTCTGAGCAGTCATGCATAGATCCACAGATCTAGTGATTTCCACTTGGCACGTCCTGACGAATCCACCCAACTCCTCGGAGGGGTAGACAGGATCCCCACACTTTTTCTTCTTTTTTCCTTGGACCTCAAAAGCTGGGCCTTACCTCTGTTTCTTTGACAAGTCCGGTTTTAGCAGGGTAATCAGGAAATATATCCTAGGCTAATGTTTTTTTCCACGAGGGGTTGGGGGAGAGGCTGCGAAGGCCACACTAAATGATCCCGCCCTACGCCCTAGGAGTGGGCTTGGATTGCCGAGGGCTGGGTGTCACAAGAAGGGAGCATGCGATTGTTCATCAGCAATGGTTTCGTATGCTTTCCCATCTTGAGCTGGGTGATTACCATTTTGCTAGTTCACTTGGGCTGGGTGATTTCTGTTTTGTTGGTTCCCTTTTGGGGTGGCTTGAGCGGGAATTCAAGGGCAAACCGTTTTTTTGCCCCTCCATTTGGTTTGGTTGAGATTCTCAAACACCAGCTTGCACCACTGCAAGTTCTCTGTGCAGGTTCTTTGAGCAAGTTCTTGGCACAAGCTCTCTGAGCAAGCTCTCTCAGCAAATTCCCCTAAGAAAGTTTATTTATTTGCAAGTTCTCTAAGCAAGTTCTCTGCGTGCAGCGCTGACCACAACACAGCAACCTTTCGACGCGAGTACTGTTGTCGATCTGGACCTGCGAAAGTGTAGTGGCTCTGGAAGGGTACTTCGCGCGCTAGGCTCGCGCTCTGGCAAGTCACAACTAAGCAGCTGGAGCAGCTTTGATACTTCCTGCGTTACTTTCGTAGCTCAGCTCGCGAATTTCCCGCCGGAGTTGCGGAAACGTACTTTGCGTACTACGTTCGTACTTAAAAGTTGCGATTTTCCAGCCGGAGCACCAAGCAGGATTCGAACCTTGGGCAGCTTACTTCCAGGAGCAGGCGCGAATTTGCAAGCCCGCGCGCCGACTTTAAAAACAGTAGCACTGCACTAGCATCTCGAGCGGTCGATGCGCAGAACCTCCGCAGAGGGCCGCGTGCGCGCCTCAAAAAGTAGCAGGAGCCCGAAGCTTTTGCGAATCGAGCCAACGTGAACCGCAACAAGTAGAAAAAGTCCGCAGTTTTTTGGTATCGGCCGCGCCGATCCCTGCAGGGGGTCGCGCGGGCATTTTGCAAAGTCAGAAAAGATTCGTAGTTGTTTGACATCGACCCCGCTGATCCCCGCAGAGGGTCGCGCGGACATGTGGAACGGTCAGAAAGTCCGCAGTTTCTGGACACCGACTACGCCGATCCCGCAGGTTCCGCGCGAACTGCAAAAAGTGACAAACACATTGCGTGTTTGAAGGCCGGGCGCCCGGCAGAGTCGTCTTTTCGATAGCAAGTTGGCGCAGGCCCGCCACTTGTCGAGCTTGAGGTTGTTTCTTTCTCTTTCGCGCGCGAGTTCGTAATACCAGAGATATTTCAATTATCAAAAAGATATGTACCTGGCTGTTGTAGCTTGCTACTAAAGCATGCTAGTGCAACTTCCCAGTGCAGCTTGCTTGTGCAACTCGCTACGACAATTTGCTAGCACCTCGCTAGTGCATATTTTTCTAGCGCTATCTTGCTAGTGCTATTGGCGAGCGCATCCTGCGAGTGCTATCCTGCTAGTGCCCTCTTGCTTGTGCAGCTGGCTAGTGCTACTTGCTGATGCAACTTGCTAGCTACTTGCTACTGCTACTTGCTACTGCTACTTGCTAGTGAGGCTTGCTGGTGTAATCCGCTCCAGGTCTTTCCTCAAGAACACCTCGCAGTGCTGTAAGGGTCTGCCTGCCTATTTCGGGCTTTTGTCTGAGCATGTTGGTCCTTATGTGTGTTAGGAAAGTCTGATAAAACCTGGGGCTGTTGCGTACTAGAAATCTGCTAGAAACCTAGGCAAAGTCACTTGGGACAAAACCATGACACCTTTTCTGCTGCGCTCAATTGGGTGCCAGACTTGTGCCATGCAAAGGGTGCGTAGCAGTCCTACAGTACTACATCTTAATCAGCTCTAAAGACCAGAACTCTCAACACATGCCCTCAGTCCTAGACAAAGTTTCCAGCTACCGCTCGGAAAAAAAACAGTGTCAAACACGGCCACATGTCTGACTGTATTGGTTGCATTGCTTTGCAGGTGGCAATATCTTTTCAAACGGTCGGTGGAAATATTGAACGCTTCCCACTGAGAAAGCTAAATCTCATGCCTTGCCCTGGTTTGCCAAGCCAAAGCTGCAGCCATCCTGGTCGGGCAGAGCCTGCCCAGGCCCAAGCAGAAAACTTGATGTGGGTCGTTTGTGTGGCCTGACTTGGCGGGGGATGCTGGGGGGGCGGACGGGCAACGTGGAACTCAATTGTCACACTTGGGTTGCGGCTCCAAGAGTTTTGAAGCAGGCTGGCACCGACAGGCGCGTTATATGCCAGAAAAGCGCCGAAAGGTGGGCCGTTTCCAATAAGCTTCGGAAGGTGCTATTTTGCTTCTTGGCGTCATCAGGAGGCAGCCGCAGCCTGCGATTGAGTCGCCAAATGTTCAAGCCTGTCGTCGTATCATGCAATGTGCCAGCCGAGCATATGCCCAAGGATGTTAAACTTCACCTGCCGACATTGCCTTTGGCAAGACCTTGGCTTCTTGCCACAGGGTGCATCATTTAATGGTTGCTTCGTGCTCCCAGCTCAGCCGAATTTGTAACAACTAGTTACCCCCACCTTGGGCTTCATCCTGGTCGCAGCAGCTGAAACGAGCGAGAAGCTTTTGGAAGTGAACGAGGACGAACTTTCGGGCGAGGGGGTGAGGGTAGGCTGCCAGCCGGCGTGTAGGCCATGATGATGCTCCACATCCTGCGTGCTTTGCCAGGCCCCAGGATGACAGCCCACATGAGCGCATGACGCGCTGCGCGAGGCAGGCGCTTAGCAGGAGCCACTGAGCCTGCCGGTGAATGGGTTTGGACGGCTCGCAGTTGGCAGTTAGCCTGCATATTTGCACGCATGAGTAATTTTAAGATGCTTTTTCAGGGGCCACCCACATTGTGCCATCAGCGGGCTCAGGCCTGAAGTCATGAACCCTGACCTCGACTACCCGCCCATCAGGTCGGTGGCAGATCTGATTGCCTTCGCACAGACATGGAACGTGAGCGAAGAGGTCATCGAAGCTGTTGAGTTGACGTGTTTGCTTACTTCAGCGCAAGAAGCGAATGACTGAGCTGCTGAGTTCGGGAGCTTTCCTGCACGCAGAGCATGGCGACGAAGCAGGAGGTATGCAGAAGCTCCGCAAGGAGCTTGAGAACGAGACCGTGGGTGACTTCGAAACAGCAAGACTGGGCTCAGCGCAGACCAGTCCCGGAACAACCAACATGTCGGGCATGTTTGGACATGGTTGCGCGTGAACCAATAAGTTCATGTCAAAGTGTCGCTCTCGTGTGCGAGATGGGTTAGCTGGTTTAAAAAGTAAGTGCTGTGGCACCTACCTTGGTCAGCGCGAGTGTGTCACCCACGAATCTTTGGAGCGGCAAAGAAAAGGTTGTTAGTGACCTGTGAGCCTCTAGTTCATGGACCATCCTCACAAATTTGAAAGCTTGCGTTTGTCCCGTTTTTCCCTCATTTCCCTCGGTTTATTACGGGAGCTTTTCCGAGATTTTTAGCAGGTTTTCCTACCGCGCAAAAAACAAACCAAAGTTGTACCAGATGTTTCTGTTGGCCTTCCACAACAAGAACCCCCAACTACCCAGACAAAAAACCAAATGGCCAGGCAGACCCTTCTTCCGGAAAAAAAGCTAAACCAAAAAAAGTCTTTCCAACACACATGTGCCCAACAATTGTAGATTTCGCCCACGCACCCGTTGTTCACGTCGCCCGTAGGCCGGCCACCCGTGGTTGGGTGGCACTGCGGCCGCAGCTGCTGTACCGCACCTCGTTGATTTTGCTTCGCGTGGCGGTTCCCAGCCGTCCCTTTGGCTTGTACGTTTGTAGAGTTTAGTGGGGGTTCCATTCCATCCACTACAATTTAAGAGTTTAGCAATCTGAAGACGTTTTTTGTACTAAGATGGATCAAAGCCAAACATCCTCAAGTCCAGAACCTGAGGCACACGCTTAGGCTGTGAGCCGGAAGTCTATTCTTGCAATCAAACTCGACCTTTGAGGTGGGAATACTGGTTTCAGGGATTCGCCACAAGTTTAACTTTTCACGAAGGGCGCTAAGTCGGTGGCTCTTAGCAGGGCATCGCTTGAGGGGTTGTGGGCATTGTTGCCGTCTGGGATAGGGAACCAAAATTCACTCAGAGGGATGGTTTAGGGTTCCAGCTCTCCTATCGAATCAGCTATTGGGTTACTCAAGAAATTGATTGGAGCTTGGGGTGCTATTGGGCGGGCTGTTTTTTCGAGAAGGGGAACAGGTATGTCTTTTGTTTGGGGGCCTCAACACTTGTGGTGGTACTTTTGGTTTTCCTTTAAAGGCAAAAAGGCAGTACCCTGCAAGCAGAAAGCATCAGGGTGAACATGTTTTCAAAGAAAATAAGCGAATTGTAGTGATTGGCAAGGCTCCTAGTTTTTCCTGTTTTGGTGTTTTTCTTGTGATCACCTGTTCGGCCAACTCTATATTTACCTAGATTCCTTTTGGAGGGGGATCCCCCAAAATTGTGGTTGTTCCTAACCACACCGGCAAAGGAGTAATTACACAACGAATCTTGGTAGAGCCGAGGCGGCCATGGCAGTGGGTCGCAGCTCCGGGGCGCCATGGAGCTCCAAGTGCCCTTCGACCGCGCCCTCGCTCGTCTCACCGACCTCCAGGCGCAATCGCCTCGCCTCGCGAAAAATTGCCAGTCCTGTTGAGAGCGGCCGTCCGGGTCATCCGAAACGAGATGTGAACCACTGGTTGCTGTGTGGGGAGATCATGGAAAGTGGCAAGCAGAAAGTTTGGAATCTTTGCAAGCCGCCCCGAAAGCAAGCCCTATATCTGTGTAGGCCGGGGTTGCACTTGTTGTTTTAATACTGTTTGTTTGTTGATGTTGGTTCTGGTTAGTTTTATTCCCAAAATCCCCCTGCAGCACAACGGATTGCATTGCGCAGCACGTAACTTGGGTTGGGGGAGAACATGTCACGTACGAATCTTGCCGTGTTGTTCCTCGTTGTTCTGCATTCTGTTTCTGATGCGTGCTCTTTACAAAATGCAGACGTAGGTCGAACACAACGTTGTAGTTGAGCTGTCACCATGTCCGGATGCCTGGCGGCTGAGGATGCAGCTCCTACTTGATTGATATCCGCCCGGGCTGTCCTCCTTCTGGATCACTTGCTGGTTCCCAGGGAATCAACACGTGCGTTGGGAAACCTATGAGTTTCCGAAAAAAAAACTGTAAGGGCTGATGTACAGGTGTACCTATGCCCTGCCTACAGAACCAGCTGATTGGTGCAAGAATACCTAGGCCTTGTGCAACCTCTTCCCCGGACTCCAGGCGCGGAACGGTTCCTCGTTGTTGTCTTTCTATGGATTGCAGGGGGGTGTGTCTCCTTGGGTTGTAAGTCTAAACAGGCTGGTACATCGTAAAATTGTTTACGACCCCCCGTAAGATAAGACCCTGTAAAGAGGCCTTCGGTTCTCTCTCCCTGAGTTCATGGACTTAAAACTCTTTGGGGAGACCATTTGAGTGGTAAACAACAAGTTGGACTTGTTTGGCCAGTCCACTCAGGAAGTGAGGAAAGGTTGTGAGAACAATTTCCCAACTGTTCAGTGGCACGTCTGTTCCCTGTTAAGTTGGTCGGTTCACCAAACATTGTCAGCCCCAAAACCCTGTTCGACCAACACAATTCCTTTTGGGGACCCAGGCCAACCTCTTCCCAAGTTGCTGGACTTTGAATTTGAAAGACCACTTGGCAAACGGAAAGTCGTTGGACTTTTTCCTCGCCCATCCGCTCAAGTGACTGACTCCGAGTTGGACTTCGGTCACTTGCGTTTGGAACGTTGTAAACAAACCGGTCGGGTATATAGCTTTTGCTGACCTAAATGCGGCATGGGTCCCGGGTCTCGCCAAGGCCACGGAGCTTCCGCAGCTTCGGCCAGCCGCGCACTGCACGCGCCTGCGCCTGAAAGCCGGAAGCAGCGAGGTGACTGGATGGCGCCGCATCGAGCACAAGGAGGGGCCTCAAAACCCAAATTTATTGGTGGAATGGTTGGTTAATTTATTGAGCAGTTGAAACCAACGCCAAGCAGTCCGATCTTCGCAGGGTCACTGCGCTGAACAAACAGTGTTTGTGAGTGTGTCGAACAAGAACGCGGTTTAAACATGTGCTTTTTGGGAGGGCGCCAGGCTGGGGTGGACTTGTTTTGTTCAAATCCTTACTCACCCCCCGAGTTTCGGGGTTGTCTTAGGGGCGAAGAAAACGTTTGGAAGTGTATAATTCTAGCCACCACTCAGGAAATATGGCTTAGACAATGATTTAACCTTGCAGACGTACAATAATGCTGCAAGAATGCGTGGAGAACAGAGTTTTAGCTATGGTTTAGACCGCCAAACTGTCTCAGCATTTCCCTTTCGGTTGAACTAAGCTTGGCTGTTCCCAATCATGATTACCCGAGACTCTCAGAGTGTGAAGGGACTTAGTGGGCACCTCGTTTTCCGCAAGCCACGGACAAGGATCAACTCGCGCTGTGCCTCTTTGAGCCTGAGGCGTGGGGCGTTTGGAACCCTTTGAGTGGGTGTGCTTGTTGTCTTGATGGTACCCTTTTGGGGGTAGTCCACATTGAACCTTCAGGGAAACCTACCATCTTTGGGGCGCGGGTGCCCAAAAAGAAGACACACCTACATGGCGGCATCCAAAGGGACGGTCAGGACCTTGTAGAAACAAGTGGCTTTTCGATCGAATTTACTACGGGGGATGGACCATTTGTTCAGGGCGGCTGGGGCAACCCAGTTTACGGTTGAGTAACAAGTAGCGCAACTTCCGTGTGGCTTAGTCCTTCTCACTACCCACAGAAAAGGAATTGCGTCCTCAACATAAATGGGTGTGTGGTTTTGAGGGTACTTCTTTGGCGGTGACTTGGAGGGAAACCATCTGCAACATCAACATGTTGCATTTTGACACAGATGGGACTGTCTTTTTCGCAAGGGCACGCTTTCTGCCAGATTGTTTTCTCTTGGGGAGGGCCCAAAAAGGGTGCCTGTTTGCTTGGGCTTCTTTTGACCGGGTAACAGTTTGCACCGCAGGTCCGAGAAGACATGTCAAAGAAATAATGCGGAAACGCTGTGCATGCAAGACACCTTCATAGAATTGTACATACATATTTAAATATGTTTGGAGACTCTTGTCCGCCAAAAAGCAACTGGTGTTCATGCTTCATCCTTTTAGAGGTGTTTACACGTGTGTATCCACCCACATGTATGTATTTTGATTTATTTATATAAGTATATATTTGTGTGTGTATGCATATGTATACGCATCAAGTGTGGCATGTCCACGTTGAGATGAGTCTCCTGCTTGGCGATTTTAAGTAATGATGCCCCTGTTGCAGGCGCTGTGAGCCAAGCCAGCACTTGCCTGTTTTGTTTTCAAGGTTTGAAGCTCTACTGGAGGTCTGAGCCGTGCGCCAGGCACTCCGGATGTCCGGATACGTTGCCAGCTTTATTCCTCACGTAGCTTCGACTTGTGCCAAACAAGTCACTCACTTGTGCCACGGCCCTTCAACCGCCCAAAATGGGTCCTTCCCTGGTTGGACGGATTTTTCCTGCTTGCTATGTCAAGTCAGCCCACTCGGGAAGCGAGTTGCTCTTTTTTCACAAGGGTGCTTGCCTTGCCTGGCTTGCTTGCTTGCTCCCTTGCTTGCTTGATTGCTTGGCTTGCGTTGGTGTGTCTTTTTTGGTGGGGGGACCCCACACCACTCAAAAACAGCCAGGCCCATGTGAGTTTCTCCATCCTTTCACAGAGGCGGATTCCAAACGAAGCGGCGGCTGGGGCTTCGCCGACCTGCTGGGCCTGCGGGAGGTGCGGTGCGGCTTTCTTCTGCAGAAACAGGGGCCTTCGAGCTGCGAGCTGTCGCTGGGTGAAAATCTGATCGGGTGAGCACCTGCCTGCCCATCAACAAGGAGCCCACGAGAGGGTCCCTCTTAAGGAAAATCTCCATCCAGGACGACTCAGTGAGGTTCCATGTTAATTGTGGGAAGGTAGCTTTATTTGGACCACCTAGTTTTGCCTTCCTTCAGAAAGACGCAGGGGCTGTTTTGTTCCCTCAAACTCTGCATCAGGTACCCCTTAATTGGTGCCGCCAATTTTGGAAAGCTGAACAAAGAGGGTCGTTATTCACGTCCGAGGGAGGGTTCGAGCCATGGACCGATTTGTGGATACAACCTGTTCGAACATGAGCCAAGCTTCGCTGATTTAGGCAGAGGTGACATCATGTAAATGCTGCCTGGGTCTACAGCTTTAAAGGATGTGAGCGTGTGGTTGGGCACAGTGTCTCGTTCAAGCTGTTTCATCTTGTTTTCTCAGAATCAAACCATTTGGGATCCTAAAGGAGCCACAAATGATGGGGTTCATAAGGATCATTCCTGCAGGCCAGCAAGCCGTTTCATGTTTCTGTTCGGTCAGCCTTTTGACCTGTTAGTTTCCCCTTTCTGATCACTGTTTAATCATCGCCCCAAAGGTTGGCCTTTTACTTCCGGTCCTTCGGGCAACTGAGAAATCCATTGGACTTCCCCAAAACAAAGGCATGGAAGGGAGGAGCCGTTCCCTGAATAAAAGGGACCCTCTCCCCCCAAGCATCACGAAGGACAATTGAAAAGTCCAAATTTCCGCTGGAAATGTCGCCACACGGGTGATCTTTCATTTCCGAGCGAAGCCCAAGAAACACCGCGGCCGCCGTGGGTTTGAGTGCCGGTAGATGCGGGCATAATATGCGTGTGTCTTGAAATAGGGGACGCTCAAATTATTATTATTTGTTATCCCTTCAAACTAACCCCCAAAACATTCCCTCTAAAAAAGACAACCCCCTATGCGTTTTGAGGTTGAACGGTACCCTTTTGGAGCTGTTTTTGTTTTTGTTGTTTGCTTTGTTGAAGCGGCTGCGAAGGACTCGCTTCCACTGCAGGCGGTCACACATGGAACCTGGAACAACCAGTTGCAAGTGGTATCTAATCTGGTTATTTTATGTTGAGCTCTGAGGGTAAAGCGGGCTTCCCAAAGGTCCTGGCTGGTGTGGGAACTGTCTTGATTGCGGAAGAGGTGGTCTCAGGCCCCATGGGGCCCCATGGGGCGCCTGGAGCATAGCGGAAGACAGCCGCTTTCACGGCCACACTTTCGCGCTTGGTTTATTGTCTTCTTCCCAAGAATTGTGCGTGTGCTGTTGCAGGCGAGTGTCGGGTGTCCAGGACCTAAATCCGATTGCCTGGACTCGGCACCCGAAACCTGTGAGCGATGGGCCGAAATTCCAACCTTCTGTTCAGCTCGTTCGTTTTCAGGTGTTGAGGTATATCCAGGCATGCAAACTGAGGTCTGAGCTTGAGATGTATGTCTCTTTATATAAAATATTGATGTGTCAGCTGAGGTGCCTTGTTTGTCTACTTACTGTTTCTTGCCGCTGCCTCTTCTCCCGAGTTGCGGCTACTGAGGCTCTGGCTGGTCAAGTTGGCGCGGAGCGGGTTCATGCTGAAGTCGGCGCTGTCCAGCATTTGCCCGGGGCCATTGCGTCAGCTGGCACGTGGCCTATCCAAGCCGATGCCAGCGCAGGCAAGGGGGTTTCTCCGAGCAGTACTTCTTTCAACAATAGTTTGTTCAAGCAATGGTTGTTTTAAGAAGGATTTGAACATAGGATGAGGAAAGCTTGTTTCAGGAATGGTCATCGCTGTCGGCCCGTGTGTTCAACCGTGGCCAACGCCACGGGCGCTGCCCCAGGCCGAGGCGACGGACACAAAGACCGACGCAGGGAGCGGTTCGGAGACGGAGGTGACCTGACTGACCTGAGGTCTCCTTTGAAAACAGAACGTTGACCCATCTTTTCTGTCCGTGATCAGCACCGGGAAGCCCAAAACCCTTTAACACAATCTTGCGGATTGAACAACTCTGGCAAGTGTAGTGGGAACCCCAGAATCACAAACCCCTGGTCGATGCTGTTGGGGAAATGTTGTCTTTTTTGGGAGGGTGGTATATCACATGCAATTAGAGGGGACACCCTTATAACATACTTGTTTCTATCAATCATGGAAGCGGATTTGTTGGGCTTACCCAAAAGGAAACCAGTCTTCCAACGCACACCTGTGCGGTTCCATGTTTTTTGTTTTTTTTGGCAGAAGGTACACGTTTCAAGCTGATTAACGATGGGAATGTGTAAGAGAACGAAGCCTGAATGGCGGTCCTCTTTTTGGTGTCCTTTTTAGAAAGCCATCTCAAAGAGCATCCCTGTATACTCATATTTGTCGTATTTATGGCAAGCTCACGGAGGGCGGGGGTAAAACGAGCTCACCCACGATGGTGACAAAGTGCCTCATTGTTTGGCACATCGTGCTTCAAGTTTGAGAACTTATTGTAGACTTTTGCAGAAGTGGACCAGAGTTAAAATGTTGTTTTTCTTTGGTTGGCGCAAAAGCCGAGATTGAGGACTCGGATCCTTCAGACAGTGAGCCGAAGGAAGTGGGGTGCGAAGAGCTTTCCAATCCGCAGAGCCAAAGCCCCCCTTCGCACGTTAGCTCTCCAAACGACGAACCAACTCCGGAGCTGGATGAGGCCGCGCCTTGCTTCACAGCCCCGACTCATTGCCAGACTTAGCAGTTCCTTGTACTTTTTCGCCCCTTTGAGATGTTTTCTAAGTTTCTGGACTTTTACGCTTTTTGCGAAAACCAATTTGGTGGTAAACAACAAGTTTGACTTGTTTGGGCCAATCCACTCAGGAAGCGAGTTTCATTTTCCTTTTTTACGCGCAAGGAGTTGGCTCCCTTTGTTTTGCTCAGGGGCGGATCCGTCCCGAGGATGGAATTCAAGGGCCGGAGCAAGGTGTCGCAGTGGTTAAGGCGGAGACGCAAGTGGAAGGCTCGGGCCCTGCCCGCGACTCCCATTGCGCACAGCTCGGACGCAGATGCGCACTCGGACGCGGATGTGGAGCCTGCCGTGCAGAAACTTGTTTGTCCAAACTGACCTGTTGCCCATGGCTATGGACCCATTACTTGTGAGGGCGGGTCGGCATGGGGGCTGAGTTTTTCAGATTCCTGGGGGCTGAGTTTTTCAGATTCCTGGGGGCTGAGTTTTTCAGATTCTTGGGGGCTGATTTTTTCCATTAACAACACTACAAAATACCAAAAATATAAGATCAAAGGTGCGTTTGTTTTGTTTTTTTGGCTGATGACATGCAAGCACAGATTCATTTTCGATCCAATGAAGACTCAGATGCATCCAGACCTGGAAAATGAGCTAGCTTCAAGCTACACAGAAGACAGCCAGTTGAGAACTATTTTGCACAAATATCATTGTTGGACACAAATATTTAGCAACCGTGTGTTTGTAGCCTATTTTTGGATAGTTGGCATGCTTACGCATGCCAAGTTTATAAACCTCAGGGTGCTAACTATTGGAAGACGTATGCTTAGCAATCTGAAAGCAGATGTATGTTCGGGACAAATATTATTTTTGTGCTGAAACACGTAAGTATGGCAAGCACAGCTTGCCATGCATATGAAACCATAAGAAACGTAAGATATCGCTGATCTATGCAGCTTTCAGCTGCAAGACTCAGCTCTTTTGACAGTTGGATGTTCAATAGTTCAATATACGCATAGGCTCTGCCCATGCTCTTGAGACAAGACAGCCAACACAAACATATTTTTCGCATAATGAGCTGGAGCAATTGGAGCACAGCTCCAATCTAGTTGCTTGAGCTCAAGAAGCACAAGATGCAAAGATGAGCACCTGCAACGATATCTGCAGATGCAAATAACATTCTCTGCGTAAAGCTGTTCAGCTTTGGAATAAGAGCTTTGGAAAAAGATTCTCTGCAGCTATTCGTGTTGCTGAAGAGCTCTTGCAACAGTAAAGCTGTTCAGAATAGATTTAAGTAGACACAAGCCACAAGCAATTGCTTGTGATGGGATGTTACCTGCAGAAGATGAAATGAGAGATGGGATAAATTATCTCCAGTTACCTGGAGTTACCTGCAGAATATCTTGGAAGAGGCTTATGTTCTGTTGATACACATCTCATCATATTATTGATGTCTTGCATCAAGAAAGCTTGCATCAAGAAAGCATCAACAAAGTAGTGTCTTCAGATGATGGGCTGTGATTTTTTGTTTTTTTGGTTTTATTGGTGTTTATGAGCAAAGGCACCAAACACAAAAAAGAACCAGACCCATGGCCCTGAACTAGCAGATGCAGATGATGGGCTGTGTTTTTTTGTTTTTTGTTTTTTGCTGAAAAACTCAGCCCCCAGGAATCTGACAAACTCAGCCCCCAGGAATCTGAAAAAACTCAGCCCCCATGACGACCCCTTCTGTTACTTGTGGGACCTGTTTTTTTTTCTTCAGCTTGGTCAAGTGTTGGTTCGTGGCTGTGGCCCTAGGACTAGAAAACCCTGGTTGATTGACAGGAAGTCTCCATGCTTAAAGCTGGCGCCCTTCGCTGCAACGTTTTTTGTTATTTTATTCGGTGTTTTCCGGCGACTATTTCCAGGTCCTTGCGTGGCTGGTCGCTGGTGTGACCAGATCGCTGCCTTAAAGAAATGAGTTTTTCCATTTAGCATACAACAGGTGATCAACCCTTTTGCTCAGGGGGGAAGGCCAACCCAGTTTTGCAAGCGAGGAAGGTGGAGAACCAGCGGGGCATCACAGCACGCGCCATCCCATGCTTCAAGAGGCCACAAAGAGGCAGGGTGGATGGACTGTGGCAGTATGAAGCCAATCAGAGTGTGTGTGTGTGCTTCTGTGATTGTTCATTTGTTACATGTCTGTTTGTTTGCTTGTTTGTTTGCTTGCTTACTTGCTTGTTTGTTGGTTTTGCTGGGTCTGTGTAGTTATGCATCTTTTTAGTTGTTTGTTACTTCTTTATTTGTTTGTTACCCCTGTTGCAGGCTCAAAATAAAATTGGGGCGGGTCGGATCCTATCATAAGTCATCAATTTTGTCCAACCCCCTTTTTCCATCATTTTGGCCTCTGTGAAAAAATATCAAATTAACATGAGGCAACCCGCGACTTCCCTCGGAAGTGCTGTTTTTTCAAGTCCATTCAAGGCCTGGAAAATGTTGGACTGCGGCAACTACATGTTGCACAGGCATGTTTTTTGAAGCCTATCAAAATTCGGTGTGGAGTTGGACCATGTTAACTTTAGTGGGGGCGGGAGGGCGGTCAAAGAATCATTACTTTGGTCGCACAATGGATTTCGGGTCCTTCTGCCTGATTTGTTTGGAAACCAAAAGGAAACCGAAGCCTGCCTGGAGGAATTGGTCCGAATGCGATTTTAAGAAACACACAGAATGATTGCGTGGCCGGCGAATCCAAGTCGCGCTTCCCTTATGGTTCGGTCAGCTACCCCGACCAAGACCAAAATCTAGTTCAATACCTTACGGACATATTTTGTGAGGAAAGAAACAACTTCCGAGTTGAACCCCCGGACTGAATTTGTGAAAACGCGGGTGTGCAAAATAAAAATGAGTTGGACCCTCTTGACCTTTTGTTCCTCCAAAAATACAATGAAATACGTTTTGTCCAACTTGGACATTTTTATTTTCCAATACAAATGACTAACCTTGTTTGATATAATGGGAGGGGGTTCAACCTTGTTTGGAGCCTCTAACGGGGGCATTTATTTATTTATTTATTTATTTATTCATTTATTTATTATGTAGTTATTTAAGCGGTTTCTTTTTTATTTTACAGTAATCATGTCTTTCTTTGGTCTTTGATTCTTTCGTTCTTTATGAAATTCTCTCTCTTTATTTCTGTATTTCTGTATCTCTGTATTGTTGTTATTGGTGTTTTGTCTTTCTTGGGCTGTGTGTGTTTGTTTGTTTGTGTTTGTGTTTGTGTATTTGTGTGTTTGTTTGCGCTGGGAAGCTGCCATGAAACTGAAACCTTTCCTGTTTCCAATACTCATTGAAGTGGAAAGCATGCCTCCTCAAGGTGAGGTTTTTAGATGATCACCCCCGCCCTTCTTGAATGTGCAGAGCGGAAGGGGGATAAGGGGGTAAGCAAGTTGTAAATGCAGCTTTGGCACTTGCACACTGCTGGGGGAAGGGGGAGGGGCCTTATTTGTACACGCGGGCCACCCACCCTCCTTGCCCCAGATCGCCCCTATCAGAAGTATATCGTGCACCCATCCGCTCCAATGTGTAGCCCTGTAGTTGTGGGGTGTTTTCGGAAGTGTTCACTTCCAGGATGGTCGGAGAGGGTTTTCGCAACCGAACATTGCGATTTCGTTCCTAACGATGGCTTGTTGGATGAGCCCATGTTCATTTGGAGAGAGGGATCTGCTCCGGAGCTTGGCTGGTCTTTCCGAGAAAAGATGCGATTGGGAGTATGGGGAGGGGAGGGGTGGGGGGTGACCCCTGGAATTCCGTTGTTTTTCCCGTGGGGAAGACCCGGACCCCCCACCCCTCCCGCTCAAGGTAGGAATCGTTTGCTGTTGCCATATATGCTTTTAACTATTCACGCTGTGGCCATGGGCCAGGAGGATCCACCTTTGCAAAGGGCACCCAGGACGTCACAGCACCTGTTTCTTTCTTCAAATGAAGTCATTCGTCACGTCACACGAGAGGTCTTGCCTTCGCCGCGTTTCCTTCGCCGCCCGGTTCGACTACCCCGGCGAGCCCGTCGCGGAAGATGCGGAAAGCCAAGAGACGGGCCAAGCAGAGCCTTGGATGATTGGATGAGTGCCCATGTGCCACTCACTCCAAAGCGAATCGGCCTTCTGATCTGACCTTCTGGAACCCCCTTTTCGGCTTCATAGTTTTCAGAGGCCCCAAAAAGGTCAACCCTCCATTTCAGGGTTTTTTGGGCAACAATGAGGCCATGTGAGCGGCGTTTTTGTTTGGCCGCAAGCTAATTTAGTAGGGAGAGGCTGGAGAGGTTCATCATTATTGAAAATGTGCACCGCGCCACAAGCGCGGAAGCATGCGGAAGGCTTCGCGGAAAGGATTCGTTCGCGGAAGGTTTGTGGAAGCTTTGTGGCTGATATATGAGATTAAATGTTTCAGTGCGTGCATGGAAAAGCCCGGAGAAACGATTTGCAGTAGAAGAATAATGGTGTTGCTACGTACAAGAAACGCAACGCTTACACGAAGAGCCAACAGCAAGCCAAGAAGACCAAAACAGAGGCGTATTTCGCGGAAGGTTTGCGGAAGCTTCGCGGAAGCTTCGCGGAAGGGTGGCCCCGTGTTTGCAGGCAAGTGGCCACGTAGCATGGGTAGCCCAATGGAGCCCAAGCCCACACAGGGTTGCGGCGAAGAACTACCTTACTCAAAATGACTTTCCTTTCTGCGCCGATACTCGCGGAAGCAAATTTTGTGAACCATGCGCCGCGGAAGGTTTGCGGAAGCAAACAATGAACCACATGTGCCGCGGAAGTTCGCGGAAGAACATGTGTTTTGCTTGCTTTTAGGTGTTTTTTTGGCGGGGGGGCGTCCCTTTGATTCCAGCCGTGGGGCCCTTTGACAGGTGTAAATTCTACGCTTTGGTGTAGATCACCAGTTGGAAATTTATTGCCAGCAACCATCTAAAGTGTCTTTTGGGAAACCACTGCAGCAGCGGATGGTACATTTTGAAGGGTTTCGACCTCATTTGCACAATAGTCCCCATAGCTCCTTTTTGGTGGGCTTACACATTGGCATTTTCCCCATTCAAGGTGCGTTTCCCTTGGCAGGGGTGACAGACAGACCCCTGCCTTGCTCCAGACTCAACCAAGGCCCGAGGTGACAGCAGAAGCAGCTGCAGCTATTGCAGGTCTGGCAGACCCTCGGTAAAAGCTGCCGATAGCTGCCTTTGAGCCTCAAATGGCCTAGTGAGGCCTCACAGGGTGCCATCAGTCAAGAAGAGACTCCTGTACAAATTGCGGCTTTGTGCATACCAAGAAAATGCGGGTTTTATACGGCCAAACAAAAGCAACCTTACGGGTAAACACGGGCCAAATATGCCTTCTGACCGAAAAAAAAAGGGCGTTTCGGGGCTCCAGGTAGGGTTGGTCACCATCAAAACCTGATGCCGATAGCAAAGGAATTAATGAGTCAATCCTGGGCTGTTCAAAGCCAATCCTGAATCCTTACCTTGCGTTCCGAAAGGATTCGACCCCCTTTGCAATGGTTGTCCAAATGGACAATCGAAAAGCGAATTGACCAACCCTCCATTATGACTGCCCAGCTAACCCTGGTTTGAAATGACGCTGAATAAATCCGTGCTTTTGATAGGGGGTGTTCCCAAAGTGGGATGAAAGCGGCAGAATCCCCACTCAGGGTGTCAACGGGTGACATGGCCCTTGGCCAAGTTCCGAGGATTGGCTTCTCGAGCTCCAGGGTTCCATCGATCGGATTGACCTCGCGGCCTTCTTCGGGCACCGCGCCCCAGCGCTGGCGGACCCGGGCCCCGCAAGTTCGGCGCTCGCCAAAACGAGGCCGAGATGAGCCTGCGTCCAGAGAGATCGGAGCCTCCAGCATAAGGCTCCAACCTTTAGAAGGATCTCCATAGGTTCCATCCAAGGTTCTTTTATGAGGACTCCAGGAGGGAGGACCAGAAAGGTTTTCAGCACTCATGGTTTCCTCCGTTGACAATTCCCAAACCTAAGGTTGGCCTCCAAGATGTGCGCAGACCCTTGGAAAGATCTTAGGGCCATGCAGCCCCTGGTCTAGGTCATGGTTTAAGCCATGATTGTTTGAGCCATCTTCTTGCTTTCTCCCTTCAAAGGGGCTAGGGCGTGTTTGTTTGAACAATGGTTTGCGCAACCACGGACAATGTAAGAAACGGCAAGTTGGCACCGGCCATTGCATTGTAGCCTCCGGCAGCTTTGAAGAAGCTGCAGAGCGCCTCCTCTCAGCTATGCATCCTGCACGCTGGTGGATGGCAACGCTCCAGGAGTTCGGAATCGGAATTCAGCGAGCTTCAGTATGTGGAAACTAAAGTTGGTTGGTTTAGGGCCAGTTGCTCTGCAAAGGAAGAGGCCCGCCGACTTTGTTGCATTTTGGGTTGAGTTTTACGTTTGGGGACTGGCATGCCAGAAGTTTGGATCCCACTGCCAAGCTACAAAGTAGACGTGCAGCTGGACCATCTATCGTAGAAAAGTTAGGTTTCCACAAGCAGAAGCCTCAGCCTCCGTATGGAGGTATCTCGTTGGCTTCAGGTTTAGGGGCTGCGCAGCGGGCGAGGCTTTCACCTGTGATTCCGCCTTGGAAAGGTCTAAAGAATGCGAAACAGTTGGGGCATGGCAGGCTGTCTTGTTTTTGCAACGGACCCCCCCTAAAGTCACAAAGTAGAAAGGATGGGTATCCCACTGTGGTACAGCGCAAACGAGGCACAACCATGAACATCCAGCTCTCCGCGAGTAAGTGAGCGGCACCCAACCCTCTTTTTCGGGCGGCCTTTAACTCTCAGGACCCCCCCCCCCCGCCATTGTGCACAAAAAGCAACTCATGGGGAGTTACCGGTTGAGGTGGCAGACTTCTGTTTCTTCTTTGCCAGTGAACTCAGAAGGCCCAGAGGCGAGTCCTTGCTCAGCCCCTACCCCGACTGGAGCCAACTCACGCAGATCTAGCGGGCTTGGCGCTTCGCGCACGCCCACGGAATGGCAGAAACGGGTTGGTTGTTTGATGGCTATCGGTTCGCCCCTGCGCCCTTCCATCTCTAACCTTTAGCTTGCGATTGTCTTCTGCCACATTTTCTGCATTTTAGGCCAAAGCAAAATCTGAGCATATGGATGTATCTTTCTGAGGGTACCCCTTGTTTGGTGCATGGTTTTAAAGGGAAACAGGAAACCACCCATCTTGGAAGTCCCTCTTTTTGTGACAAACCCAAAAGAGGGTGGGGCGGTCCCCTTTCTGTTGTGGAAGCCCTCTTCATCCGGCGCTGCCGTTGGGCTTCACTTAGCGCTCAAGCCGATTTCGCTGATCCCAAAAAGCAATCACTTGGAACCCGTGAGAGCTTGAGGGCCAACCTCAGCCCAACACTCCTCCAAAGACGTACAACCTGATAGTCCTCCCCCTGGGCTTGAAGGGTAATTGTTTTGGGTACATATCATCCAGTTTGCGAGCAGTGGGAACCTCGGTTCATGTTGTCCTCTTTTAGTGGGGTCCATCACCTGTGGATGGGGCCCCAACCCTAATAAAGAACGGGTTCTACTTAGATCCGGGGTCATGATGATTGCGAAGCTGAGGTGCAATCCGTCCATGGTCCCACATGTTAAGACATTACCTGCAAAATGAACGAGACCCCAACAAGAAACCCGGTGTCCTTTTACATTGATTGAGACAGCTTCAAGGAGGGACCCCTCCATCAATGACAGCTGGAATTTTGTTGGACATAGACAATCGAGGCGAGACAGATTCAAAAAGAGCCATGCCTTGCTGTTTCTCAGTAGGAACTGTTAAGAAATGACCCCACTGGAGGTTTCCTAGGGGAACCCTTTCCGGTTCATTCCCCAAAACCTTCAAGTGATTCCGTACTTGGATGCTGGACAGGAAAAGGCAGAGGGAGTCACACCTGGTGTCAAGCAACAGCTGTCGCCACCTTTCAAAGAAAACAAACGAACCAAGTTGTGTGCACAACAGGTGTTTTGCTTTGAACCTGCAGTCAGAGGGTTGCACGATAGACAAGAAGACCCCTCTCCAATTCCTTCAAAGGAACAACAACGCACTTGCAGCCGACCTTTTGACCTTTTGCTTTCCCCTTTGCTCTATTTTCAACCATGGCCCGAAAAGGTTAATCTCTGGTTTCTGGGTTTTGTACGGGCAACGTGTCAAATTCATGGCTGTAATTGGGGGATTGCATCGCATTCGGTAGGAAGCCTACAGCGTGGACACCAAAGGGCGTGGTTTCACGATCCCGGCCGAGGGGCCCAGGACTGGCTGATATTTGGGTGTGGCATTTTGCAACGGAAACCAACAGTAACACCATCAGTTTCTGCGGCGTCCCATTATTTTGAGGCCCATCCCTTTTGGTTGGATCTTTAGACTCCGCATGTTTTCCCGTGGGGCAACAAGTTGAGATTTGCTTGCTCGGGGTTTTGGAATGTGAACTGGGCGCCTAGGAAACCGAGTTCTCAATCTTGGGGGGGGGGAGAATGGCCATTGGTTGTCCAACCTGCAAACCTGTTTTAGCAAGTTCCCATGCTGTAAGTATATGTTTGCTTGGAGGGTCCCCCATGTACAAAAGAATCGCGTGAGCCTTTACAAGCAAGCTGGGACAAGCAAACGACATGCGTGTTTGGCTGTTGCTCAAATGGGCCTTCGTCAATGATCTCCAATGCTCTGACCATACGCTCCCAAAATATGCAGATGGAAGGGGTGCCAATTCTTGTCAAACAGTTAGAATGGCGTTGTGCTGTGGGGTACTTCGAATGAGACACGCACAGAGGAACATGTGTGGAATTGGTTGGCTCTTATTTTCAACCATGTGTAGTTGTTCTATTTCACCTTTTGCATTGAAAAAAAACGCGGGCGAAGGGAACTCGCCTCCCTTTGCGCGGTGGCAGCCAACGAACGCCTGGAGACAGGCCCGCAGTGTTGGCCTTTTGAGCCAAAAGGGGACAGCCATCACTCACTTTCCTAGAGCGAATCGGCATTTGGCCTGGTGGTGTCCCATTTCTTTTGGTTCTTGTCAAGGTTCCAAAGGGTGGACGGCCGCTGGGTCTTGGGGCTTGGGAATCTACAAGCTCACCCGACGGCGCGCATTTGCACGCTTGCGGGGAGCCTTTGAATCTTTGGCCCGGAAAGGTTTGTTAGGCCTTCCAGTCCTCTTCGAGGTAACATCGATAGAATCATCGCGGATGCGCGGAGTTATTTTGGTTAACATTCTTCAGGGTTCGACTAAGTAGCCAGATGCCACATCCGACGGTTTTTTGGGGGTCTCAAAGCTTTCAGGGGTAAACTAGTTGGAGCGTTGGGTATACAAATAAATATGGATGTCTTGATTTATCAAACTTCTGAAGGTTTGGGACTTTTGAGCCAAGTGGGTCTTTGGCTAGGGGAACCCCCACCCAAACTTGTGTTGTTTCTTTTAGTTGTCCTTTAAACCACCCCCAAAAACGGTACCCTCAAAAACAGACCCAAATGGCAATTCCTTGGCACAATTCAATTCAGCTAAGTAGAACCCAGCAAGCCATTCACTTCACTGGTGACCTTCCGCAGATTTTGCTTAGGGCAACCCGGCAGCCTCGAGGCCGGCTCGCTGCTGGTCAAGTCTGCCGCTGGCAGGGACCTCGTGGTAGTTTTGCCGGAAAGCCGGCGGCGGGCAAGCCGTCTCACTTGAACTTAGATGCTAGTTCTCGAGTGTCTTGTGTTTCATATATGTACATATGTGTGTACATATGTATGTACATATGTATGTACATATGTAAACGTAATCTAACTGTCACGTATGGTCATCATGTGTCATCATATTGTGCCATGAGGGCCAAGAAACGGTTTTCAATAAGGAAGCCATGGCCCATTTGGGAAATTCGGAACGTGGCACAAACCACTTTCTCTTTGGGCTGCCATGGAAGCGCACCGGACCCTTTCCCAACAGAATCGGCTTCCAAAGGGGTGCACCCTGCGGATTCGCTCAGAACTCAACAGACCATCAGAATGACATAAATGTCGAGTTTCCTGTGCGGGGCCCTCAGCAAAGGGAAAGGGGGTCCAGGTGAATTTGCGGCGGGAATAGCCAACAAGCAGGGCGGACCCATACTGCCAGGCTATGGGCTCCTACTGTTGGGAGGCGCCACAATCAAACCGATTCGGGTACAGTAGCTGAAGGTTCGTATATAGATGCCCCGAAGAAAGGGTCTTTCCCAATACCTAGGAAGTCCACAACCCCATTTCACCCACCTACAAAGAGACACCTAAAACGGTAAAGCATGGCGTTTTCACCAACAACCCCGTTTAATCGAGTCTTTGCAAGGTTTGAGACACATTGTCCTTTCGTGGGTGCAATGGAATCATTTCATGGAGAGGAGGCTTGACCCCACGTTTTTTGACGTGTTGGGCGTGGGGCTGGCTTTGCACCGACTTTTTCTGTCTTCGAAATAGCCCATGCCGTGCTTGGCTTTTCCAAGAAGCCAAGAGGATATTGGCCAAATTTGCCATCCGGTTGTTCGTCCGGAACCTCAGTCTGTTCAGTCTTGGTTGCTTTCTTTTTGGATCACAACAAACTAGGCACCTCCAAGTGGGTCATGCCGGACCAGATCAGCAAGGTGGTAAGATCGCCTGGGCCTTGGAGCGCCCTCGGTGTCTGATGAGCAAACCCGATGGGTGGGAAGGTTGATCAAAGTTCAGCGCCCCTGGCACTCAGATGCTTTTTGTGACACGGGCCTTTGTGGACATTAAGTTCACCTCATCTCAGGAATCATGGGCCAGAATGTTTGCTTGCTGGCTTGCCTGCTTGCTTGCGTGTCTGTTTGTTTGTTTGTTTGGTTGGTTGTTTGTTTCTGTGT